AATATATAATGTGTGTACACACACACACATACACACACACACACACACACACACACACACACACACACACTCCCACACTCACACGTACAAGCACACGCACACGCATACACATGCACGCATATAACAGGTATTCAGGCAACACAAACTGTATCTGATTACCACCGACAACCTTCGGAAGACGCTACAAGGACTACGGACAGCGACGACTGATAGGCCTAGAGAATAGTAGAGAACGACATACTCCTTCATTGGTGAAACTACATGCCCACGTTGTGTCCAAACACTTGACCGCGCGTTATCTCAGTTCGATCTCTCGTCCAACACTCCGAGTGACGGACAGGCTAACCTGTGTCCACAAACCACAAACACGGAAAACCTCCAAACTGAAAGTAGAACCACATAACAGCGCTTGCAGTTTGCGGAACTAAACACTACAAAAAGACCTACGCTCAGGCAAAGCGCGCCGCGTTCAATCTCGTATCGCCACCACCCCCCTTATTTTGTGTAATAACCCCGTCCAATAAATACCGCTAAACAGACGGTCGCGGCGAATAGTTCAAGCCCAAAGGGGTGACCAACATTTGGCGTAAGGTGGAATTCCCTCGCAACGCAACGCTTGACGGCTGCTTCAGTTTGTGTAGTGTAGTGGCGAACTCGCTACGAGCGGTGGGTGACTACAGAAGAGGTTCATTTGAAGTTGTGGAGGGTAACGAGAAAGGTGGTGTGTGACTGAAGTTTCTGAGAGTGAGGAAAAGAGCTGTGGAATTCGGATATTTGGATTTATTATTGCATGTGAAATATGCATCTGATCAAGCAATTCCCTTGCGATAATGGATAAAATTTCTTGTTTTCTTGGATTAGCCTAGAGCATCATCACCATGGCGTCAAATGTGAGAGTGGCGGTGCGGGTTCGCCCGCTGAGTAGAAAGTAAGTAAAGTTTGAACATTTGTAACAAAAAAGTGTAAGTTGGAAATTCCTGAACAAGTCGAAATTGTAGAAACTTCTCAGACTAGTTGTTTTTTAATTACTTTTTTTGTCCTTAGTTATTTATTTGATATAACTTGCGATATTTGAGATCGGAATAAGAGGGAGGGGTGATGTTAACATTTCTCATGCTTATGTATCTAGAGATCTCACCAGACACACCGAAGCAAGCTCACACACACTCACTACATATACACAGACACACCGAAGCAAGCTCACACACACTCACTACATATACACAGACACACAAACACTCATAGACACGCATGCATACACACATAACGCGCAGAAAAGCATATATTCGATGCTAAGAAAAACAAGGAGAGAAGTTAGATGCATAAAGTATAATTTACACAATGATGTATTGTGTTCTATTGGCACAGGCGCATGCCGGTACATGGCCACTTAAAACTCCTTCACACTCCCTCCCTCACTTCCCCCCCTCTCTCTCTCCCTCTCTCTCTCTCTCTCACACACACACACACACACACACACACACTCACACACACACATACATTCATACATAATACACGTACGTGCACAAACATACACGCAGACATACATAATACGAGAGAGAGAAAAAGAGAGAGACAGAAACAGAGGACAGACGGACACAGGGGGGAGGGGTAAAGATAGGGAGAGTAACGAGACTAGAGCAGCAGAATGAGAGAGACTGAGAGATAGATCGATGGAGAGACAGAGGTAGAAAGATAGAGATAGAAAGATTGATGATTGAATGAGAGAGA